GCCCGCGGTCCGTCAGTTCTCCCCCGCCCCTAGCGGCGGCCGACGGGCGGGGCGCGCGCCGCTGCTCTGCCGGCTCGTGGCCCGCTGCCTGGCGATACAGTCCCCTCCGCGCCCCTCGCCGACCGCCCGCGCTGTGCCTCCATCCTCCACGCAGGAGGACCTTTAAATAGCAACGTCAGCGCGCTCTCGCTGCCTGCACGTCACCCGCCGCTCACGTCACCGGGGGCGGGGGGGCGGGGGTCGGGATGATGTCACGCGACCGGAAGTACTGCTAAATTAGGGAAGGTGCGGAGGGAGAAGGGCTGGTCGGTCTCGTCTGTCCCTACCTGCTTGCTCTGCTTCTTAAAGGCCAAAGCGCAGGAGACACCCCGAGAAGATTCGAAGGAGGAAGGGGCGGGAGGTGCAGAGTTCCTTGCAGCAAATGTGCCAAGCGCGAGTGAATCATTCATAGCAACAGCCATCTCTTTGGCAGCAGCGTCCCCGGGATCCGCGAGCCCCCGCCGGCTGCAAGGTGTGGGAGGCCGAGCCTGGTCGCCCGCGGTGCAGACGCTTCCAGCCAGACTTGGGGAAAATCGCCTTCACCCTAGGACCTGAGTACCATTGCGGCCACAGCCTACTTGTAAACGTACTTTTTTCTCTCTGATTACCTAAATCACGGACGAGTAGAGTCGAGTCGTGGACAGTGTTAAGGAAGATGGTAACTAAAGTGGAGGAAGGCCAGCGAGTGATCAATAAAATGTTTTCATATTTAAAATAGCAATGGTCTGGCATGGGATAATGAGTCAAATTCAAATGAAGCAGTTCACTAAGATAATTATGATCATACCCATAGCAGATGGCAATGAACACTCATTTGTGGTTTAACAAGAATATGAATTGCAGTCTGAAAATTAAGAAAAACCCCAAATCCTTTCTTATTAACGAACATTTATTTTTGTCTTTAATAGTTTTCACTGTTGTAAGTACAGTATCGTAAGTATGTTGTTTTTTTATGAGTAGTCAGCTATACGTTTGCAGCCATCTGTGTATTTGTGTCCATAAAAAATGAGTGCTCTGCAACCTGTAAGTTACTATAAAGTTTTTAAATGGCCTCATTGTTTTAAGAGTTTAAGTACATTCAAGTAAAAACTTCGATTTTATTTGACTTGATAATTAATACATGAAAATAACATCATGACACACTGCCAATGGCCATTACTATTTCAGTTAGTCTACAAATTCATTAACCATATTTTACAAACCAATGTCCAGATACACCAGTTTGACATTAGGCAAAGTATTTGAAATCTGAAGTTACCAGGAAAGCAACGACATGGGATCACCAACCTATGAAGTCATTGTTAGAAAACTGCTAAGTCAATATCCATGCAATTCAAATTAAAGGAGCTAAAATCTACATATGGTTTTCAAAGAATGTTTTTTAATGTTAAATAACTCATATGATTCTTAATTAAGGAACACTGGTTTTGCAACCGTCTGCATCAATCTTTTCTTGCTCAAGTTAGGTGCCCAAGATTAAAGGACACCAGTACAAGAAAGTTAAGACCAATCTGCAACCTTCAGGCTGTCTAATCATCTTCATATTATACAATCATAACCTCATGTGAAGCTTGAAATATTGAAATTAGTGAGGTTTTTTAAAAAGACGATAATGAAAGGTTAATAAAAGCAAATTTCTGCTTGCCAATTTGTCTAATGTATATTATTGCCATACTAATAGAAACTTGTACAAGTTTATATTTCGGACAAATGAAGCTTCTTCTGCATAATATATTGAAATAATAAAACTATCATTCTTCAAATAATGTCATTACTTGGCCCCTGCAAGTTAAAATACAAATTGTGTCATTATTCCACAAAAATTTTCTCTGCAGTTTCCTATCTGAACTAAGTAATTTTCTCTTTCCAGCTATTTCCTCCCATGTTAAAGCTCTCACTTTACCATTTTCAAACACTTCATTCGACCCTTTCAGCGCACCATCTCATTTACAGTCTTTTTTCCCAATCTTCAGCCAGTTGTCAAAACAGCTTATCAGCTGCCTTTGTACCTTCAGAATGCTAACCTTCATTAGTTTCTACTTTTCATAGTGATGCTCTGGTTTCTTCCCAGCTGTCTTTTGTCAACTGAAGATTGAGAGCAACTATTTTTTGCGTAACTCTAATGCTGTACCGTGATAGTTTCCCGAAGTTTATGTGATTACATTGGCCTACAAATCCACAGAAATCTACCTAGAATTGATTGATTTTTTTTTCCAGTTTGTGTGGGATTAGTATATGGGGAAGTACATATATGTCCATATTTCCAAAGGTATAAGTAAAACTTTGAAACACTTTATGTAATATGCAGGAAGAAAAGCTCTTGAAGCAATTCCACTAGTTTCCAGCTGTCAGAGAACCATTCTGGGGCTTTCCATCTATAAATAAATATCTTTATTCATAAAATGAGCTGATACAATCCAAATTCTGGTCATGATTTCCCAACCCTAATTCCTTTGTATGTTTTTTAAAGTTATGCACTTCCTAGAAAGTAATGTATTTTCTTTTACCGGAAAAGGGAAAAAGTACTTTAGCAGCATTTCAAATTTTTAACAGTTCCTGTTTCCCACTACACACTGACAATTTGTGGGCCGGTTTATGAATACCCTCTGATTTTAGAATCTGTAGGCGAAGGCATCTGTTTAGTTACAAAGTTTACTTCCATGCCCTTAATAGGAAATGGCGTTCAATGGATGTTCAGAGATTGGTTGCAAGGTCTGTCTTTGTCAATGAAAAGGCACTCATCAGGAAAAATTTGCAGGAAAGAGAGTTTGAATCAGATTTTATTGTTAATTGATTCACAGTAGATAATAGCAACTCCCTTTTTTTAAGCTCCTCTTTTTAATTACCAAATACCACTCTCATTTCAAATAAACTCAGAAATATAAATAATAAGTAAAAAGATAGCTCTCCGTACAATAAAAATCTCAAGATTCCTAGTTTATGACACGTAATTATGAAGAAACTAAATAACTGGCAAAGACTAAATCTAAAAATGAGGGGAAAATGAAAGAGTTGTAGGAAACAGTCTGTCCGCTGGACTCTCCAAAATCATCCCCATCCCCACAGTTTGGCTGACCCAGTGCACTTCAGAATGTGTTTGGCTTGTACAGAACCATCCTTTATTATTATTACTAATGTTCTCAATAGGAACTAGTACGCAATCTCTTCAAGAAAAGCAAAGTCAATTTAAAAAAAGAAAAGAGCAGTCTCAAGGGAAAACTACAAGTTTGCTGTCTCCACATCAGAAAGGATAAGCTTTATTCTTTCAAGAGCATCTGCAGAGTGGTGGAGAGAGAGAAGTTGGAGAATTATCCACAGGAAAACTATGATATAGCACATAGGAAATGGTCTCATAGAGCTCTCTTCTCGTCTGGTTTTTACTGTAAAATCATTGATCATTTTCCCCCTATAGTCGAAGAAATACAAATGGTACTAGACTGGTGAAAGAAGACACCAGAAAGTTCTCAGTTATGTGCTATTGAGGGCCTGGGTAGAATAAAATTAGATGAAACTGTGATACAACTCTATGTAAGTTTTTTTTTTTAACATTCTGGGGCTAGAGGACTTTTGAAAAAATGAACTGGTTTAACTTTGGGTTGTTTGGTTAGTTGGCTGAGTGATTATTTTAAGCAACAGAGAACAGACTAGAAAAACAAGCAGCTCTGCAGAAAACTACAGTAAAAAATGTGGAGTAAAGCTTGTGCTCTACCTGTGCAGTTACTTCAAATGGAATGCTGTGGAAGCTGATTGCCATGGCAACCAATAATCTTTTTCCTGAATGGGGGAACAAAACAGCCATGAGGAAAATATTTAAACAAGCTACCTCATTTTGTGACTCTTTTGGTGCTCGCTAGGATAAAAACAACACCAAAGGCATTCAGGACAGCCATGTTTACGAAAGGAAATTGCCTTTTTTTTTCAAAGAGATGAAGCCAAGGCAGAAACGCTGAACTATTTCAAAGACAGATGAGGCTCTAAGGCAGCAATTACAGAGTCTAAAGCAGAGCACACTTGCTGAAGACTCTGACACAGCTATGGCAAGCAGAAGCGATACCAGAACCTGTGCTGAAGGTGCTCCTCAGAAGAAGAGATCAGCAAGAGTCTCAGCATTTGAGGGTTTCAGCCATAATATTTTATGAGTTATTTGTGAGGCTTTTTATTTTGTTTTATTTTATTTCTTTAAATCTGGTTCTAAATTGCAATTGCTTTCAGTATTAAAAATGGAAATGATAAATATATCTGTAAGGTTTTCTAGAGAAAAAATCCAATAGGATATATTGAGATATAGAAATAGAGATGCTGACCAATCAGTAGATAGAT